GCTTAATTGTTTTTTAATGTGATTTTTTTATCAAATTTAGTTAATTGTTCTAAAGTTGTAGTGCACGCATTTTACTTCGGTAAAGTTATTTAAAGCTAGTTTCTGATGTCAAAAACGACCTCCAACAGTTTTTTAATTTTTTTAATTAATATATTTCATTATATATAAGTTTAATTAAATCAGGGGGTTGGAAATCACAATAAAAATTTTAATTTTTTTAAAATATTTAAAACTACAGTAGAACCCCTCTAATCTGTCACCTATGGGACTGGGGGTATGGTCGGAACGCAAAAAAGGTCGGATTATCAGAAAAAAGTAAAATAAACAATCTTCTCCTTTGTCTAGTCTTTGTAGCACTGCTAATTTTTCATTTAATGAAAGAGTAACGTGTTTACGTTTCACTCCTGACATGTTGAAAACACACACAAAACTGTACAGTACATGTACACACAATGTAAAACATATAGGCCTACTGTAATAAACACAGAAAAACGCCACGGACGGTAAGTCACCAACGATCGGGACAAGTTTCTCGACTCCGACCACGGTCGGATTAACCGGAGTGACAGACTAGAGGGGTTCTACTGTATACTGCCAGCTAATATTCACCCTACTTTAAACCCTTGTCCTCCCGAGACGTCTATGAGAATGTCCTGGGAAATCCCACACCAGATGTAAACACAATGACTCATCAGTGTCAAATTTCGCAGAAAGGTGAGACAATGGAAAATAAAGTTTGAAACTTTTTCTTCAAAATTAACGCATTTCTTTTGTTTTTTTTTTCAGTTTTAAATATTTTTTATGTTTAATTACATTAATATCAAAAATTGGAAAGTCGCAAAGGAGTTAATGCATTGCATGAGAAAGAGCAATTGTATAAGTTTTCCCTAAAATTTATTGAACCACATAGAGTAATTAGTTATGGTGTTGAAGGCATGATTGTCAAAATGGTTTTCACTCAAGAGAAAGCACAAACTGTATGATGATACGCCGAGACAAATTCAGTAGTGCAAGTGCAGCAAAACTCTTGTTGTGTGTTTAGAATGGATCTTCCATATGAAACACCATCAAAATATGGAAGGAAAAGTTCCTGTTCCTGGAAAGTGTCCAATTTTAAAAGGTCAAGGAAGTGATCAGAGAGGCTTTCCAATGAACTCTAAGGAAGTTCATTCATCATGCAGTTTGGCAATTTGGAATTCCCTTCTCAACTGTTCATGATGTGATGCATCACAAACTACACTATTCTCTATGCAAAAGGAGGGGCAACCTTTTTGAAGTGGAGCATTAGCGAAGCTTCTTCTATGAGGCTTACAGAATTGTGTTTGTTCTCAAAATCCATTCAATCGATTTTGATTAAACTTTGTTATTTTCTGTTAATTGTGATGAAAAATCCAAAAATATAATAAAAAATGGGGCCCAGGACTTCATTTTCAAGATATAAGGTTGTTTCATGAGTGTGCATGACAAAGTGATATTGTGCGATATCCCAAGATCTATACGGCTTATAGAATTGAGTTCATTGTCAAAATTTGATGATATGATTTTAATAAACTTTGCCATTTTCTATTGATCATGATAAAGAATCTAGAAATGTAATAAATGTAAATGTAGAAAATAGGTGCCCATGATTTCGTTTTTGATATTAAGTGGGTCAAAGTGACAATGTTTATGTTCCTTGAGCATGCCTAACAGAATTTAGAAGCGGAATAAAAAAACTTTGCATTCACCTAACAGTAAATAGACACAAAAAACAAACAAAACATAGGAACAAAGCAATTGGCGTTGATTGCTTTAGTTTTGGTTTTATTCATTTATAGCAATGCAATATCCCTGGCAATATGCCGAGACAAAATACCACTCGGGAGGACTTTTATGGAAAAATGGTCCCATTTAGGTGTTACTAACATCAATAAAACTTGGAATACTCCACATAGCCAACCCGTTTGCCACATGCAAACTCACAACCAACTACCAGTGTTCAGCAGTTTTATCCACTTAGCCACTGGTGGGTATTGGCATCCATTGCTTTGTTCTTGGATCGCCTCTCCATGTCAATAAGTGCAAGGATCATCTCTGTGCCAGCCAGTACATCGACCAACTCTTCCTTGGCTGGCAGGGTGTGAGGATTGCTTCTCCCATGACCAGTGGGTGCAAAGATGTCTCTTTCATGGCAGCAAGTGCAAAATTTGTCTGTCTGCAACTGTCAGGTATAAGGGTCACCTTTTCTGTGTCTAACAAGTGCAAGGATCACTTGTTTCTTTTCTGCTCCACCTCAATTTTATCACAATACAACAAAGTCACGTGATGTCCTAGTATAATTTTATGTAAAAAGGTGTAAAGGTAGAAGTGTACTGATGTTTGCAATAAAACTTGGTGAGTTTGTCTTCAAATTCATATACAGTATCTACCTTAATTTTATTGTAATTCTTACCTAATTTTACTTATAACCTTTAAAAATGTGTCAGTCTCAATCCAAATACCCTATACTGTACATAACTTTATTTATTCTGCTTACTTTGGCTTTGGAGCAAAAGATTCTAATTCTGCAAATACATCTGCTACAATTTTTTCATCTTCATCATTTAAACTAGTCTGCAATAAAAAAATTATTAATACAATTTAAAATACATTATTAAAACAAAAGTTCAAACTGATAGAATAGTAAAAGTGACCTATTAAAAAAATCTTTTTTTGTTTTCAATTTTACTATATATATATATATATATACAGTCCACCCCCCTATAACACTGTTGATAATTCCGTTTTATATGAATTCCATGTTGTACGAGTCACTTAGATTTTACAAATACATGAGCCATTTACAGCCCGGCACACGTATTTGTAAAATCTAAGTGACTCGTACAACATGGAATTCATATAAAACGGAAT